TTATTTGTGATGTCAATAACAATAGAAACCATCAGTTCTCCTTCTCATGGAATAGCAGTAGCTCAGTGGTACAATGCACATTTTCTTTGAACATGTTCTTCACTTACTGACATCTAGAGATAGATCTAAGTAAGAAACATGAAGAGGCAGAGACAGGCAGTGTGTTTAGTACTGAACTAGAACATAGGACTATTTACCCTTCACTGTTTGTGCTATATTTCACTTTTGTGTTAACTGCCATGGCAGCATCCTATGAGATCCTTGGGTTTGTTCATAGGTAAAGAACTAATGCTCTCTGGCTGAGAATTCTAAATATCTCTCCTCAAACTGCAAATTCCAAAATACCATAGGATAGAATTGTGACATTTTAAATGGAAAATAATGTGAATGGACCCCAGTTCTCTTATTTGGTACAGGTTGAATATTCTTTATCCAGAGTTCTGAATTCTGAAACACTTCAAAATACAAAATTGTCTGCATGAGTGGCTGAGATAGTGATACCTTTGCTTTCTGATGGTTCAATGTTTCATGCACAAAATAATTAAAATATTGTGTATAAAATTACTTTCAGGCTATGTGTATAAGGCATATACAAAACATAAATGAATGAATTTATGTTTAGACTTGAGCCAATCTCCAAGATATCTCATTATGTATATGCAAATATTCCAAAGTCCAGGAAAAAAACCTGGAATCCCAAATACTTCTGGTTCCAAACTTTTCAGATAAGGGAGACTCAACTTGTATAAGGCAGCTTCTTGTCAAGTTGTTTGTCTAGCTTTGGACTGAATCCTGCTCACTTTTAGACAGGATAGTGTAAACAATGTTGGGAAAAGGCTATGGCTCAAAGGTTGAGCATATGATTTGCAAGTAGGAGATCTGAGATTCAATTCCTGACATTTCCAGGTAGTACTGAGAATGAGTCTTTTCTCAAGTTTCAGAGAGGTCTTCCTGTCTTCCTCTGCTATTATTCCATCCCAGCCACTTGGAAAAATTCCTTTTCTGGACTATAAATGCCAGAATTCTGGGATTTGTAGTTGGAAACATTCCTCACTTCAGGCTCTGCCCCAACCTTTCCTTGGTTTCAGCATTTGTCCCAAAGAATTTTTCAGATTGTTTAATTTCCTCTCTAAAAACAATCAACACAACACAGAGGAAAAACAAGTGATTGTGTTTCTCCCTACAGAGATGCAGAGGAGCTTGATCAATGTAGCAAATAAGTTCATTCTGATGCAAACAGTCACTTTCAAACTCTTCTGATTGTATTCTGTGTATCCTCTTTGAGTGTTTCTGCTCTTGAATGCCAGTTCTGTTTGCTTCATTTAAATGCCTCCTGAGATCCACACCCCACTCTAGACAATTTCATTTGAATGTCTTATGATTGATTAGGCATCACTAGGATAATGAGAAACTCCATCATATTATTAAATTAGTAAGAGGGCCACCAGATGGTGGGAATATATGGAAATCTTGGTTGTAATGATGGGTTATTAGTGGATGGGTGACTGGTTCTCATTCACAACTTCTCTACCAGGTTGGCATTTATTTCCTTTTTCTTAACTTCGTCCCTGGTTCCTTGCTTTTTCAGTTGGTTGAGATCAGGAATCTAAGTGGCCACACAAAAATGTAATTTTGTCCTTTTCCTCCCTTCTGAAATGGAAGGAGGCTCTCTGACAGAGCTTAATGATATGGAATGGTGTTTCAGCACCACAGAGATCAGCCACAGTTGGTACCATGTCAGACCCTGCACCCTTTCAGAGTTCAGTAATCCAGTCTTCAGTAAGACTTTTATACAAATGCAATTTACATGTAGACATCTCCAGATAGAACTGCTCCAGACAGAACTGCACTTATTCATAATCTCCATCCTGTTGTGACCCATACCCTGCCCTCTACATTTATGGGCTTCCCTTTGATTTGTTTCCATCCCATAACATACCCACCACTTTACACCTATCTGTCCATCTCCCCTCTACTAACTTTCATTCTTGCCTTGGTTTTCCTTTTCCCACAAGGCTGGCTTGAGAAAAATACTCCTGTACACATCTGTACATATTTGAACCAGGCAGTAGCTCAAGTTAGAACCATCAATAGTTTTTTTGATCATTGACTATAGCTCCCATTAGGTTTCACATACCATTATACATGTATACCAAACTATGATATATTGATACACATACACTGAACATAACTCAAATTCAAATATCTAACTGTTACATAGCCAACAGAGAAATACATTTACAAAGTCATGACAGATTCTACTGGATTCTGATAATGGCCCCTGTTGGGCTTGAATAGAACCCCTACCCTTGGGCCATTGCTAGACCCAGTCTGGACATTTCCCTTTTGACCATTCATTGGACCACTGCAAGTTTGAGGAGAAGTGATCTCAGTCATGAAGATAAATCATGTGAGATTTTGGCTCCCTCCTAATCTTGTGTCCCTCCTGAACATTTTGGTTTCGTTCTTTTACATTGAGTAATGTTAAACAATTCCTTCTAGAGTTCCAAGAAGAACAACCCAATGTCCTATTAGTGGCAGGATTTATATAGAAATAACATTTATCACACACGTCCCTGACAAAATAAGCTCTTTGATCAATACTGTGAATGTCATATCTGCATTGCTTAAACTTCACCAGATTGCTTTGTGTACAAGTAGTCTTTCTTCCCTTAATATAAATGTATTTTTAATGAGTTTTTGATAGTTGTATCTCCCCCCTTTGTGTTCACATTTTTCTTTTATTTATGGTTTGATTTTCTCTTGTGTACTGTTCATTTTCTTTGGTTGTTAGTTTTTTTGGTTTTGGTTTTGGTTTTACAGTGGCCTAGAGAGATTAATCTATTGTTGATTTATTCATGGCTACAGACATGTTGCTTCAGGGAGCTACACATCAGAAGGAACAAGTGACCTCAGATAAATGAGCAAAATTCTGTAGCAAATTTCCCCTTTGAACATGAAAAAAATCATAGGGGAGTTAATGGAGTTTTGTAGGGGTAGATTTTGACTTGTCACCATCCCTTTTTCATGATCTTAAAATGTGATAACCAGGCAGTTTGGATCTGACTGTAGATTTGTACTTGCTGTTCCCTTGGCCTCTCTAGTTTGTTTAGAACTAATTTTAGAAGATCTAGCACCATTATTTGTCATTCCTGGACAGATGCTGGGGTTCAAGTATATGAGCAACAACCAACTCATGTTCTCCAACTGCCTTAATTTGGCAGGGAAAGTCCTGATTAATTCTTTGCCATCTTACATTTTCAGCTGCTTTTAAAATATCCCAGTTTCTCTCTCATCCTCCCAGACTATACTTTTGTCCATAGATTACTTCAATTACTGCATACTCAGTTCAAAGTTCAAAAGAGGTTGGGGCTTTGTTGAGTGGCATTTGCAAGTCAATAGGG